GAGAGGGGAGGGACTTAGAGCGTGCTTGAGAGGGGCGGGACTGCAGGCAAGGCTGCAGTGCAGGGAGTGGAAGCAGAGCGCTGAACACACACGGCTCTTATTAAAACGGCGCTTTCTCACCGGAGTACTTTTCCCAGTCATTCTTAAAGTACCGATACTACCGCGATACCCTGCCGTTTTTAACGGCAGGGTATCGCGGTACCTTTCAGCTATCGGTACACCGTGCAACAATTGTGTCCATGTTGATGTTACACATGGAGCTGCTGTGATGCAAGTCACATTTCAGACTTGATCTGACCATTAAAGTATTATCTTATCGTAGGATTCAAATTCAGAACAGCAACAATTCTACAAGAACTTGCTAAGGGCTAGTGCATTAGCTTCAAATAAGCAAAACCTTAAGTGCTTGAGTAAAAGTTTAGTTGCCAAAGTGCCGTCATTGATCAGGAAAGAAAGAGCTAGTTTACCAAATAAACGTAAACATATTACATTCAAATCTTAATGAGAAAATTCACACTGAATTCAGATTTGGACAAAAGCAAGTATATTAGCTTTAAATAAGCCAAGCCATTTTAAGTGCTCAATGTTTTTATCTTAATGTATTTGCCAAATGGCCGTGGCAGTCTGGGAAAAGACAGAGCTGGTGTACAAAAGAAAATAAAGATTTTTTTTTCATGCAAATCTTAAAAGTAAAAACATGAACCTGAATTCATTTGGGAGCTCCTCCTCCTATGATTAAAATTACGAGAGGAACACATACTGCTCTTTTAAATGCATATATAAAAGTATACTGTTATACATATGAGTGCTGGTGTGCATAAGAAAACTCTCAAAAAGGCAAACAGCCTGAACTCATCCTTGGTTCCCAAAAGCATGTCCACTTGTTTATCGTTACTGAAGTCACACTTTCAATGCAAACTTGTGGTACAAGTACTTCTTCTTAAGTGAAAGCTCTGCATACTTCCTCCAACACAGTAAGTAACCCCTCCATGGAAGTCATGTCAGAGTATTTGTAGTCTTCAGTGAAAATAACCAGTACATTGAGTTTGAAAATCTGTTGTCGCTTCATTTTCATTAAAGCTGTTTTCTCAGTGTAGCTAATGACTTTTAAACAATCCTATCTAAAAGCTGTGTGTGTGTGTGTGTGTGTGTGTGTGTGTGTGTGTGTGTGTGTGTGTGTGTGTGTGTGTGTATTTTAAACACACAAGCGTTTGGATGCATGTCACATCTTATTTTTAAAACAGTGGGTGAAATGCTTTTGATCATCATGCGTTCCCACTTTCTGTCTCTCTGCTGGTTTCTGTATTTCTTTCTTTTATACAGTCCATGCTGTAAAATCATCATTAGTATAAATAACCAGCCTGCTGTCAGAGGCGGTGTTACAGTATAATCAGGAATACAATCATCTGCGTCTGCTTTAAAAAATAAATCCTTTGCACAAGCTCGTCATGCCACAAAGAAATAAAAAGCTGACATTATTTCGTCTTTGAGACTGTAATTAAATCTGCTCTCGAGCTCACAACATAGAATGTGTGTGTGTGTGTGTCTGTGTGTGTGTGCCCTCTGATAAGCAGGTCTGGTACACTGACTGTCTGATTGAGGTCCTCCAGGGAAGGCTTCTGAAGTGGAGGGGGGTAGTTTGCATTCTTGGCCATTTCATGAAAAAAGGGTGCAACCATGGGAGTAAGCCAAGAGGAGGGCTCAATTATGCATGGTTAAACAAAGCCCGAGGCTACCAGCGAGCAACGTCTCAGCAAACTCTGCCTCGATCCAGAGGACCCTCGTCCAGAAAAAAAAAACCAAAACAGCCACAGAAGAACGCAGCTCCTGATAAATCACTGGATTGTGTTATGACAAGAGCAGCCACTTTGAAAGGAGACTTCTCAGAGGCACTGCTTGAAGGAAAACATTCACATGAGGTCAAACGATACATCACTGAGTTTACGTTTCCAATAAATAATCTGGAGAGGCCGCTGAAGCGATCAACAGACTCATCCTGGACGTGATTTACCCAATAAATGTGACAATATTCCTCCCAGGAGCTGACTGTGGTTTCTGTCCAACAGCAATAAAGTCACACTTTGCTGTTTTGCGATTGCCAATAAAAACCGGGACAATAATTCAACTGTTTACCTGAGCAATACTGACATCGCTTCGATTGTATTACACTGCACATTACAAGCAATAATCTAGTCTTGTTACACTACTGTATATATTGTAACATATATATTTTTGTTTTCAGATGTTGATATCACTCAGTGGTTGAACGTGACAAAGTACATTTACTCTACTTTAATTTTGAGGTACTTTTACTTTGCTTGGGAATTTTGTTTTCATACCACTCTATACTTCCATTCTACTACGATCCATAGAGAAATACAGTACTTTTTACCTCACAACATTACTAAACTAGATTAGCAAACAGTTGAATAAACACTAAATGATTATAATGACATTTTAAACAACTTTGAGATTCCTAGACTTGAAAAAAAAAATTGCATTGCATACTTTTAATGTAATACTTTAAGTACATTTTGCCGATTATACTTTATTTTACTTAAAGGTGGGGTAGGTAAGTTTGAGAAACCGGCTCGAGATACACTTTTTGTTATATTCCATGGAATGCTCTTAACATCCCGATAGCAATGAACATATGAAGTGCTTTGACAATAAATACATACAAAAATATCATTTGTGGAAGCCGTAGCGCTGTAAAAAGCACGACCAATCATCTGAGCCGGCCCGGCTAAAGTAACTGGATGGCCTACCTGCCTGTCAGCCTTCCATCTGTGCACACACTTATCTCGTGCCCTCATTGGTCATGTGCGCGTTCGTGTGTGTTGGAGGAGGGGCTCTGTGAGGAAGTCTGAAGGAAGTGGCAGATTTTTTCCGGTTGTGTATTTTCAAATTCTAGCGCACTCGAGCTGGTTTCTCCAGAATTACCTACCCCACCTTTAAGATACATTTGAATGCAGGTCGTCTACTTAAGTAAAGGACATGAAAAATGTCCTCAACACTGTATTTACTGTAACTCAGTGTTGTTGTTTATCTCAGTGTATTTGTTGTCTTCAGAGGTAGTAATGACATTTTCTTACTAACAAGCTTGTTTGAAAGATGCGTTAGCCTTCACTTTACACTTAAATAGTATACTCTCAATATAATTCTGAGTAGCTAATACCTTTTATATAACCCTAAATAATAAGGCTTTATCACATTACTTAGTTTGAAAGCTGCATTTCTGCTTTATTTCCACAAAAAGCTTTTTCTGAGAGCAGCTAATGGCTCTTAAACAAACCCTCCAACATAATCAGGAATATTAAAAGTTAACCACATCAGAGGCCCCTTTCCCAACGCCACACACTGCAGCAACAGGACCCTCAGCATCTGGCCCCTCTTTCTTCAGACACACAATAAATCGGAAAGTATGCGTCTTTGGTTACATGTAAATTATAGGCAGTTCTTCCAGAGCCGGAGGGGGGATCAGTATCCACGTTCAGTTCACGTATGAATGGGAGAAACCTGGCTAAAAAGCTCTCTCCCGACATCTTCCTCTTGTTTCCCCGGGAAACAGGAGAGGAGGGTCGGAGTCAGGTGACAGGGGCGTCCCACACACACACATTCTATGTTGTGAGCTCGAGAGCAGATTTAATTACAGTCTAAAAGACCAAATAATGTCAGCTTTTTATTTCTTTGCGGCATGACGAGCTTGTGCAGAGGATTTGTTTTCAAGCAGACGTTTGTATTCCTGATTATACTGTAACACCGCCTCTGACAGCAGGCTGGTTATTTATACTAATGATGATTTTACAGCATGGACTGTATAAAAGAAAGAAATATAGAAACCAGCAGAGAGACAGAAAGTGGGAACGCATGATGATCAAAAGCATTTCCCCCCCTGCGTTTTAAAGATGTGAGACGCTTCCAAACGCTTGTGTTTTAAAATGCAGCACACTGATGGATTTTAAATCAGTCTCTCACCACCTGAAGAGCAATAAAAAGACACTTGGTTTGGCTTTAGACCAACCGATTAGCCTCTAATCACCGCTCTGATTTTCTTCAGCATTTCAATAATATGAGCTGTTTTCCCCGGTTTAATAAGCACGCTTTGAAGGAGAGAATAACAATAATGGCATCTTTATTCCCAGGCCAGAACCAGAGAAAAAGGGCACAAAGTGGCGCGGATGAGACTGGCATGAGGCTTTACGGTTTCTCCCATGTTCCCTTTAAACTGTGGGTTTTCTCTGGAAGTGTTTCCTTGTACGATGTGAGGGTCTGAGGACAGAGGGACTAAGGACAGAGGGTCTAAGGACAGAGGGTGTCGTATTGTCATACTGATATTCTGTACACACTGTGAAGTCCACTGAGACAAATGTAACATGTGTGATTTTGGGCTATATAAATAAACACTGATTGATTGATTGATTTACTGGATGTCCACTTACAGGAAAAACAACTCTTAAAGGCCCTATAATGCTTTCTAGGTTTTCCCTTTCCCTCTATTATGTTCTATAGGTGTTAGTGCATGTAAATGGTCTGCAGAGGCTAAAAACCCCTGTTTTTCCTCCAGAGGGAGTTTCTCTCCCACACCCCCCCCCCCTGCCCTTCCTGAAACTCCTCCATTTGACTCCTTTGTTTACTTCCATAACATAATGACATCACTATGTAACACTCCCGCTTCTATTGGCTAGCGCTCCAACACATTGTACGTGATAGGAGGCGTGTGGCGCAGTTCAGGTTCAAACCCCACTGCAGTCAGCATGTCGTTGTGTCCCTGAGACACTTCACCCCAGATTGCTCCTGTGGGGATTGTCCACAGGATTGAGTATGTAAGTCGCTTTGGATAAAAGCGTTTAACAAGTGACATGTAATGTAATGATAGGCTAAGGGGCGGGGCATCTCTAAGCGGTTGACCAATCACAGCAGAGCCGGCCAGCTAACGAATCAGAGCAGACTGGGCTCTGGTTTCAGACAGAGGGTGAACATATTTCAAACTGTTGTGTTGAGCGAAGAAAAACATGTTGTTTTCAAAGGCTGAACCCCAACGAACACGGATAGAAGCTAAATGTTTCCTTATGAGGAAAGATCCTGATTAAGACTCAGCTCACACACTCGATACATTGAAGTGAACCAACATATATTCCCCTGATAGAGAGTAGTACTCACCACAGGAGCAGCAGGTGAAGCAGTTTGTGTGATACAGGTTCCCCATCGCCTGGCAGGCCTGACTGGCTCCATACACTCCTTTCCCACATTTCACACAGATGCCTGTCAGAGGAACACACTCCGTTAGTCACTGCTGTTAATCCTGAGCAAAACAGTCAAATAAACGCATCCGACACACAGCGTGGAGAGAAAACACTTTGTTATTAGGAGATTTGCAAAAAAAATATCATATCACAACCTCTCCTACAATACATCATACCCTCTTTTGCCTACTTAATAATAAAATAATTTAAAAGTATTATTTCTTGCTTTGTTATTTGGTATTTATGTACGTTATCTTTACATTTAACTTGTAAAAAAGTACAAAAATGTGCATTTGACTCTGAAAAAAACCTAATACAATTGTGTTCTCTTCCAAAAGATAGCTTTGACCACTGTTAGAATAACACAGATTTCTGAATGAAGATCATATCTGCTGAGTGTGCGCACCATAAGAATACAATCATTTCTGGACATGATGCCAGCTTAGTTGGAGCATTGCTTTGAAACTGATAAAAAAGTGACTCTGCCAAACCATGTGTGCATTCCTGTAATTATGCAACAGTCAATAAAAGGAAGTAGAAATAACTAACCAGCTTTAAATGTCATCACTACTGTAGTTCGTCCTCCGTTGCCTTTGCAGTAAAACTTCTTTAAATGATTTTATATTCCAGTTTCATAAGTCCAGCCTAAACTTCTGTCATTTCCAAGTATTTCATCATGCCGTTTTGAAGGCTAACGTCTACAGGAGAGCAGATGAAAATGTCAAAATGCTGTGACATGCAGTGGATGAGAGAGGAAGGACAGACCAGAAACAAAGTCCACAAAACCGTTGTTCTTTTCCTCGTTCGCAGGGAATGGATTGAGCATGCTGAGGGTGATTGAAATGTGCTGTTACACAATCCAATCAGTACAAGAGCGAGAAACTTGAATAAGCTTTTCGGGGTATTTCGATTATTGTGGAGACATTTTTATTGAACAATGGCATTTTCAAAGCATGCTCAAATTGTATAACTTGACTCTCTTATTTATAATTTATTTCCAGATGAGAAGGGTGTCATTGTCCCTAATCTTCACCTATATATTCAGTTAACAAATGTTTTGAGTCCAAACTCTGTCAGCGTATCACTGTAGAAACATTTTCAGTAGTTGCCTAAAGTTAGGCTACTGAAAACACTCATTTGAATGTTAAGTATTCCTCTAACAGAAACAATCAAAGTTAAAGTAAAGAAAGAAAGCCTTAATAGCTATTATTCAGTATACACCCATCACTTAAAGTCTCAGCTAATTAAGTATTTTCATTATGGACTGATCTGCAGATTACTTTCAAGATTAATTAATAAATTGTTTCGTCTATAAAATGTCAGAAAAGTAAACATTTCCATCCCACTTCTTTATAACCCAAGGTCTTTAAACATCTCGTTCTGTCTTGTCAAAAACCCAAATATATTCACTTTAATTTAAAATCTCCATATTTGAGAGACTGAAATAGCATTTTCTTTCATTTCTGCATAAAACATGACAATCAATCGCAATTAAAATAGACGTCAATTGAATTTAAAACAGAGAAAAGCAGGAAATCTCCATATTTGAGTGTCGGAAAACCGCATTTCTGACATTTCTGCATTAAAACACATGATTAAACGAAATAGTTGGTGATTATTTGATTGATTAAATGACCAATCTTTGGATCTGTATTGCCAACTAACTGTGATACGTTTTGTAACTGAGCACTTCAATACCACTCTGAGACAAAACGACAAAAGATAACAAAGAATATGTTACGATATTTTACATAAAATAACCACAACTGCTCCAACTTGGGTTCAAACCTTCGTTTCCTCCTAACTGAGAAAACGGACTTCCTTGTCCTTTAAATAACGTGTGTGTATTTGTAGAACGTAATGTCCTCCTCAGACAACTTGACCACAGACCAACCCCAATCTCAGCTAAAAACTGTACAGCACTTTGGTCAACTGGGGTTGTTTTAAATGTGCTGTAGAAATAAATATAGATTGAGATTGAGGGAGGAAATGCCCAGACAGCGGCCACAGGTACACAATGAGTAATATGACCTTTAGTGAAGAAATGAGATAGTCTGGAGGGGGGGGGGGGGGGGGGGGGGGAAACAGTGGCCTCAAACTATTTGTATTCGCAGCAGCAGACTAACGATCCCCAAACTCTCACGAACAAGACGACCTCCGCCGGGGTCACATTCCTCGGGGAGAGCAGGGTCAAAGCTGGGGGGGGGTGAGTCCAGGGTCAGGGTGCCTACAGGACACAAGACCCCCCCCCCCCCCCTCCCATAGAGCAGAGGTGGGAGAAGTACTCAGAGCTTGTACTTGAGTAAAAGTAGAAGTACTCAGATCTTGTACTTGAGTAAAAGTAGAAGTACCAGAGTGTAGGAAAACTCTGTTACAGTAAAAGTCCTGCATTCAAAATGTTCCTCAAGTGAAAGTAGAAAAGTATTCTCATCAAAATATAGTGAAAGTAGCGACAGTAAAAGTAGTCGTTGTGCAGATTGGTCCATTTCAGAATAATATATATGATATGTTTTATAATGATTGATCATGAAAGTGTTCTCAAAGCTGGTAAAGGTGCAGCTAGTTTGAAGTACTTTGTATTCTGCAGGGGAGCTTGTGGATTTACTCCAGGTGGAACTAAAGTCTGATTTAACACTTGATTATATTTCACATCATTCATCCAGATCTGTGAAGTAACTGAAGGTATTAAATACATGTAGTGGAGTAAAAGTACACCATGTACCTCTGAACTGTAGAGGAGTAGAAGTACACAGTAGCATAACATTTAAATACTCAAGTAAAGAGCAAGTATCTCAAAATGGTACTTGAGTAAATCTACTTCCCACCTCTGCCATAGAGACATCATTACACTCACTCCTCCCTTCAATACATGGACAGTCTTGCACTAGTGCACTTTCTCAAAGATATTGAAGTGATTGTTATTTTTGTATATATTGATTGTTGTGCTTTTATTTAGGTCTTAATGTGTACATAGGTATATACATATTTGCATACATATTTGTTTTTGTATTCGTGATTGTGGGAGACGGCATTTGGATCTCTGTCTGTACACACAAACTGAAAGATTGACAATAAAGTTGACTTTGACTAAACACACATTTCAGGAAGGATTCGGAGCAAGGACGCCCTTTCTGTGACGTAATGGTAGAACTTCCTGGCTATCTGAAGCAATAACTTCCCTTTTATAACAGCTACAGAGCAGCATGTGACAGATAAAGGCCAAGGGTACGGAGAAACTTGCAAAGGTTATTTCCTGTGTTTGCACAAATAAATAAAACGGAAGTCAAATATTGCGTTTTTCACTCGTGCACTCTAAAGATAAGAAGGCGACAAAAGTGAACGAGTACACTTCAAATAAACTTTAATTGGTTGAACAATTCTCCAAAAATAAAAGTCCATGATGATAAACACAAGGGGGGTACAGCTATATGGACACATGTTTATATTCCAATATCATTAATGCAAAGAAAAAGCATTGAACATTCCCATGGCATGTCCGTCACTTTTTTAGTCCCAGCACGCTTCCTTCAATGGCATTCAAACCGTGACTAAGCATTCAAATGGTGCCCTTTTTAGTACGCAAAACAACATGTCTATTAAAAGTATAAATAGTTTTTCATTAAAACGTCTTGAAGCCGCTTCATATGATATCATTCTTTTATTTTTTGCCTTTTCCACTTCTTCTCCTTCTCTTCCAGTGTAATTATGTTTGCCCTTTACTTTGATGATCACTCTCTGCTGCTGTAATGACCAAATGTTCCTTATCTCACATCATTAAATCCTCAACTCCTAAAGGTTGGATTGTTTGAAGTGCAGTTGAATGAGGCACGATCCATAGTCAGCGTATTCTGGGGAAACAGACAGTAGTGTGGGTATGGAAGCTAAACTATTCAAAGCCACCAAACTCCATTTAGAAAAACAGTCATTTTATCTTAAAGGTGGGGTAGGTAAGTTTCAGAAACCGGCTCGAGTGCACTAAAATTTGAAAGTACACAGCCGAAAAGAATCCGCCCCTTCCTTCAGACTTCCTTACAGAGCACCCCCTCCAACACACATGAACGCGCAATGCAGATGGAAGGCTGACAGACAGGTCGGCAATCCAATCCGTTTAGCCGGCCCGGCTAAACGGATTGGATTGGATTGATAACAAAAAGTGTATCTCGAGCCGGTTTCTCAAACTTACCTTCCCCACCTTTAAAGGTCACATGTCATGCTTTTCCAGTTATTACCCGTCCCCTTGTGTGTTATGAAGGTTTTCTGCATGTAAACGGTCTGCAGAGTCAAAACCCTCAAAGTACACCCTGTAGCGAGTAAAACTCTAACACAGAAAATACCTGTCTATGCTGCCCCAGAACGCCTCGTTGGAGATTTTTCTTTTTCCATTGTTTTCTTCCTGGGTACAGTAACGTTACGTCCACGGAGCCGTTACGTTTGGACCAATCCGCGGACTTCCTCACACACACACACACAATCGGCGGGACGTTGCGAGGCTCGCTGCTGCGAGGAGCGGGACACTGTGAGCTGGCTCACTGGTGTGGGGTCAGCGAGACACCGCGGAACTCAGCCTGGGCACACACACAAACTCCCAGCCAGGCTGCGGGTGTGTGCGTGTTTGGGCTGGGTTTCGCTATGTCTCACTGTCTCGCAGACGGCCACTGGGCTCACAGAGGGGGGGGAGGGGGGGCAGGAGCTCCAACAAGCCGTGTAGGACAGAGAGTGAATACACATACTATACAGAGATGCTGTATGAGAAACCAATGTGAGTTTGGAACATTGAACAATGTAAATGTATTCTAGTAGACCTCAACAGTGGAATTATGATTAGTAGAAATGGCCATGACATGGGACCTTTAAGCACAGGAGTTGTTGGTCTAACGTTGCTTTGATTTGTTGGTAAGATTGTGTTATTGTGTGACTTTCTTGAATCTGAATTAACCTTTTAAAGAACAAAAGTCACACAATAACACAAACGCATGAACCGATTAAGAAAGCAATACCAGAAGCGCTCATGTTCTGTAA